CATGGAACCCCATTTAAACTCACATCTGACTAGGGCATTAACAGAGTACTCGAGTAATCTACACATCGATTGCTAGGACATCTATCGAGGTTAAAAATGTAACGTCGAGTAACCGTAGTGATGTCTTATTATGTAACCACCGTATGACCGTAGGGGGCGGTGTTGCACTGTTGCAGGTCACAGAGTATGGTGTAACACCGGGTCCAATCCACGGAACCAGAACCAGTTTACTCTTGCTTCACAAACAAAAAGCAAAAAATATTAATCTCTAAACCTATGAAAAAATCTATAAACATATTAATCTCTAAAACTAAACAATGAGCACCACAGCTGGTGGTGGTGTGGGGTGGTCAACACCCCCCCCCCCCCCACCCCACTGTTAAGTTTCGTTTTTGACGTGCTGAGTGTTTCTTCACGTTTGCAGTTTAATAATAATAACTAATAGTTTAGTTTTTCCTGTGACTTATTTGCAGTATGATAAATGGTAGGAGCATAATATATGCTCCCAAATGCTGGTGAAGATTCTCAGTCATCCAGGACATGATGAATTCAAAAAGCGTTCAATACAAAAACAACTGGACTTTATTTGTAACAGAAGACGTTTCGCTCCTCATCCGAGGAGCTTTCTCAATTCAAAGAGCAGAGAGTGAGAGATACAGGTTATAAGGCTGAGTGAGATAAGACACACACACACATAAGACACACACACACACACATACATACTGTATATGTAGATTGGCAGTTCACACCTAAAAAAACATAAACAGTAGGTCTTTGTTCCTCTAAATCACAGCCGAGGCCCCTCTGTTCCCATCAGGTGTGAAAACCGGCTGGGGATCTGTTTTAAAGTTGCATTATATGTTTTTGAAAGTGGGAATCTGAGGCCTCCTCCTCTGTTAAGAGACGGCTTTTCTCTTTTTACATAGATTGCTTCCTTCACCCCCCTCTCAAACCATCTGTGTTCTCGGTCCAAAATGTGCACATTTTGGTCCTCAAAAGAGTGTCCCTTATCTGTGAGGTGGAGGTGAACTGCGGAATTTTGTCCAGAGGAGGTGGCTCTCCTGTGTTGAGTCATGCGTCTGTGAAGAGGCTGTTTAGTTTCTCCAATGTAGAGGTCTGGACAGTCCTCGCTGCCAATCTACATATACAGTATGTGTGTGTGTGTGTGTGTGTGTCTTATGTGTGTGTGTGTCTTATCTCACTCAGCCTTATAACCTGTATCTCTCACTCTCTGCTCTTTGAATTGAGAAAGCTCCTCGGATGAGGAGCGAAACGTCTTCTGTTACAAATAAAGTCCAGTTGTTTTTGTATTGAATGCTCCCAAATGTTTTGTTGGTCTTATTTTTTTTTGTTGTAAATAATTACCTTTTTTGCGATTTAATTAATTAATTAATTTTTGTATCTTGAGATCTATGATGTCATCAAATACTCGCGTTCTACTCAGGTTTTATTATGTTAATGTCGAGTTTAAAAATTATATACTCGTTCAACCCCTACATCTGTCTGCATGCATTACAGTGTGAGATGGTGTTATCAGTCACAAGTTGTGACTGTTATTTGCTTCTATTGTCACTAATCAGTTAATGACTATTGTTACCAATCAGTTCATTTGATTAATAATCAGTTCACTTGTTATTATTAATCTGTTCATACTGTTCAGCCGTGAATCAGTTGGTTCATGGCCCCCCTTTTTCAACATCTTCCCTCCCCGTTGAAAGTTTCCGGAGCGTTCATGCATTTCAGAATGCATAGTTACACAGCATGCGTTTGTGCATGGTACACATAATTACGCAATGCGTAATTACGCACATGGGGAGCTGAGTGACAAGACGTTTCTTTGGCAAGCTTCTGCTTCATACGGTGTTCGAATGGACCCAGTGAGGCGAGGACAACATCGGCTTCGCCCTTAACCCATCAGCGACAGCCTTAAAGGGCGAAGCCTATATGAAATAGAACGTTGGCAAACCACCACCTTCCAACATCAGTAGAGAGGAGAGGGACACACTCACCACTCTTAGCAAGGACAAAAACATCATCATTCTCCCAGCAGACAAAGGAAGGTGCACAGTGATTTTGAACCAGAAAGACTATCATGAGAAAGTTATGACACTCCTTAGTGACTTAACCACTTATGAACCTCTGAAAAGAGATCCAGGAAGTGGTTACAAGAAGAAATTGATAGATTGCCTGAAAATTTTGGAGCAGGACAAGGCTATTGACCGTTTTCTGTACCACAGACTGTACCCAGGGTAGGCCACACCTAGTCTGTATGGTTTACCTAAAATCCACAAACAAGGTGTACCTTTAAGACCAATTGTTAGCTTGATTAACTCTGTCACTTACAATGTTTCCAAATATCTGGCGTCTGTACTCATCCCTTTAGTTGGCAGCTCAGAACACCACATACAGAACACCATGGACTTTGTGGATAAGGTGAGGGATGTCATCATGGAGACTGATGAAACAATGGTCTCTTTTGATGTCACATCACTCTTTACGTGCATTCCTGTTGATGATGCAGTAGAGGTGGTCAGTTTAAAATTAAAATCAGACACCACTCTGAGCAGCAGGACCACGCTTTCCACAGAACAACTGTGTCAACTCTTGAAACTGTGCCTGCAGTCAACCTACTTCACATATGGGGAGCAATATTATAGGCAGAAACATGGGTGTGCTATGGGGTCTCCAGTTTCTCCTATTGTTGCCAACCTGTACATGGAGGAGGTAGAAAAGAGAGCCTTGACGTCCTTTTCAGGGACACCACCAAGTCATTGGTTCAGGTATGTTGACGACACCTGGGTTAAAATTAAATCTCAGGAAGTCCAACATTTTACTGACCACATCAACTCTGTGGATAAATACATCAAGTTCACACGAGAAGATGAAAAAAATGGCAAGTTGGCTTTCTTGGACTGTGAGGTCTCAGTCTCTGATAGAGGACTTTTGCAAACTGAGGTGTACCGCAAACCCACACACACAGACCAGTATTTGCAGTTTGACTCCCATCACCCTTTGGAGCACAAGTTAGGAGACATCAGGACTCTGTACCACAGAGCAGACAGCGTCCCCACTAGCTCAGGAGCCAGGCAGAAGGAGAAATCCCACACAAGACAGGCTCTAGAGCAATGTGGATATCCTAACTGGGCCTTCCTAAAAGCAGAGAAGAAACCCAAACAGGACTCCAGTCAGCCAACAGGTGAAAAGGAGGAACCCAGACCAGTGGTCATTCCATATGTTGAGGGAGTATCAGAGAAACTGAGACGTTTATTTTCTAAACATAACGTCCCAGTGGCTTTTAAACCCCAAAATACATTACGGCAAAGACTGGTTCATCCCAAAGATCCAGTCCCCCGGCACAAACAGAGTAATATTGTGTATGCTGTTCAGTGTCAGGAGGGCTGTGATCAGTCTTACATCGGAGAAACTAAACAGCCACTGGCCAAAAGGATGGACCAGAACAGAAGATCAACATCATCAGGCCAGGACTCTGCGGTCTACACTCATCTCCAGGCCAGCGGTCACTCTTTCAAGGATGAAGATGTTCACATCCTGGATAGAGAGGAACGATGGTTTGAGAGAGGAGTAAAGGAGGCCATCTTTGTGAAAAGAAATCGTCCATCATTAAACAGGGGTGGAGGCCTCCGGGTTCAATTGTCCCCCTCTTACAATGCTGCGATTGCTAGTATCACTCAGCCCTCTGTGAACAGTAAACAGCCATCAGTGTGCTAATGATCCATTGTTAGGCTGATGGTCCTTCTTGAGCATGTGATCAGCTGGTTTTGGTTGTCAGCAGCAAACTGGTTGATCCATTCTGAGAAGGTGCTATTTAAGAGACTGAGCTGAATACAGCACCTCAGACTGAGGAAGTCTCTCGGATGAGAGACGAAACGTTTCTACATTTTTTTGTCGTTTTGCTTT